TGCAGGCACTCGCCACTGCTTGCATCCCAAATCTTGACTGTGTTATCGTCGGACCCAGATGCAAGCTAGGTCGAGTCATGGGAGAAGGTGACCGAGCTGATCGAATCGCTATGGCCCTCAAGGGTCTGCAGGCAGGCACTCCACTTATCTTCCATATCTGGCCTTATTGTGATCCCCTTCGGTTCTTCCTCCTTGAAATGATCCCTTATTAGGCTGCAGATTGGAGTAAACACAAGTCCGGACGTATATGCCTGAAGAGGACTGTCCTCTATTGCCTGCTTGTGATACATGACAAACCGACGAGCATCTCGAACTAACTGGAGTAATGCGGATACGTCTGCTGTTCCCTAGTCTACGTTAGTATGCACTGTAGATAAAAATTGCCTATTAAGGGAATACCTGTAGTAAAGCCTTGAGTTTCCCCATTGAAACTACACTGTTTGACATGCTTCTGCAAAGACTGAGAGCCTCTAGCCAGTAGAGGTAATTCTTTCTCACAAATTCCTTAATAGCGCTGCTATCCTGAAGGTCAACCCCGTGCTTCGCACAAGAATTGGAATTCCAGTCACAGAGGTGGTCAACCCAGTAGATACATGAGTAACGTGACGCTGCTAGCGGGTCTGGGTCTGGCTGTTTCACTCGCTCGATAGGGTAGCCTAAGGCACCTAAACTATAGATGTCTCGTCGTAAAGTCCGGGACATGACTTTAAGTGATCTTAAGAAGATCTCATGGTGGGTCTCTCCTTTCCCAGATGGAAAAATCTCATTGGATGCCTTTTTAAGCAGAAAATCCTTTGCTGATTGATGGACAAACAATATAGTGCGTTCTCGAAGCGTTAGAAAGGACCCACAAAGCCCTATAATCTCTGATAGAGCTTCGTAGTCACCGGCGACTCCATCCGGCATGTCGATGAAAGAGGTTAACTCGTCTAATGTGAGGGGCCGGTACATAACTGAAAGAATAGCCAGTATACGTTTGCAAAGGTCAGCCACCTCAGAATTCTTCATCTGGTCTATCATCCGTCCGTACAGACCATTAAGTCCAGGCGGAAATGTTGTCAACTTCTGCCGAGCATCCCATTGAGAGATATAAACCAGTTCTTGGCAGACTAAAGCTACCCAAAGAAAAGTGTCATTTGCGTTTAGCAATAAGTAACTTTGGACAGCGTCCTGTGTATTATTGCTGTATCCGTTTCGCTCTGCTAGCTGATCCACCTTATAGCGGATGTATGTTGCAACAGCAGTGGAGATGGATTTTTTATTAAGCTTAAGGCACAGTCTCATATTCTGCATCACAATTTTAAGGTCTTTCTTAATACTCGGCCAGTTTCGACTAGAGACCATCCACTTGATACGGGGACATACAGACGACATCCGCGCGATGAAATCTAACAGTTTTGGCAAGCCTGCTACACATTTGTCAAGCGCATCTACGATTAAATAGGTGTTGTTTAAGTTGGGGTCTTGCAGAACTTTAATAAAGATCTCTGACAAAGCGTACTAGGCATTCGCATCCTCAAAGAGCGGTTTGCCTACGTGATCGTGCTTCTTCCGTATATGCGAGACAAGCGATGGCTGTTGATTGACAAGCAAGTATAGCAGGCCTTGTAGCACTGATGTAGCGTTATTAATTCGCGAGTCCGCAGCCTGGCAGAAGAAGTAGGATAGAAGATCTGTTGTGGCTATAGACTTCTTCAGCTTGTTGACAATGCCGCAGAGCAGCATTGTCTTACCCTTGCCAGGATCACCTTTGATCCACAGTAATCGGCTCTGCTGGTCGTCACGCCATTGTTGGAAGTTAGAGTTCTTGAGGATCCAGCGGTACGAGTCCTTCAGCAAGCCGCCCTTAGTGTCTTTAATCCGCTTCTTGTCATCACGGGGATTAGTGAGGCGTAAATCTTAGACACATTTCTCTAGCTTGCTGATCTCGTCCATGAGCCGTTTAAACGCCATAGCTGTTCCTTCGCCATAGATAGGTAGTACGTAGACTCTAAAAATTCCCAGCAATGAGTACGCTTTATCTTCGTTAAGCTTAGTACGGCGGTGTTCAATCCACAACAATCACTTGTTGACGCTGAACTAAGATAAAGGGGCCCCTAGGAGCACTAAACCCAGAATATTCGTTATCTCGTAAATTTGTTGTGTTAGAGAATTTTTATCACCAAGTCGCTTGCCTTCCTGGGAGAAGAACTCAACCGAACTTGGAGCAAGAAGTTCTTGTAGCGTCCAACCTCGAGTGAACCATCTGCTTCTCTGGAATTCTAGTTCCCACGGCTGCGGATCAACCCCAGCGTTAGTGTTAGAGGGAGGGCTAGAGACATCTGATAAATAGACGTAGCATCGAGCCGCATTGCGGTACCAGCGAAACATAGAGTTGATAGCCCGCGAGAGTTCGGCGTCATTTGTCTTGTCAATACAAACTCACCATACACTTGCGACAACATCGACTTTGTTCAACCGCTTACATGACCTGTAATTTTTACTGCTTAGCTTATTTTTCAATATTTGAAACCACTTATTTCTACAATCTCTGTTGGACTCACATCCTTGTGATAGACTGCTTAGGGTTGGGGGCCCAAAAATGGGACTCCCCCCCCTTCCCTCACATTCTTTCTTCTCACACATACCAGAGAACTAAAAATAAATTATTAGTAATAGATAAGTATGCCTCCTTACTATAGCTATAAAATAACTGCCTTTCCACTTAACTAGTTTTTAGTATTCTTAGTAACGTACTTCACGGGCGAGTTGCTCACACACCTGAGTTGCTTACTTTTGCTAAGACCCCACCCTAACAAACTCTATTATAGCCTATAACAACCCGCTCTAGCACTATATAGTATAGTACAGCCTAGAATATTATTTAGATACTACTTTTACTTCTTACTTATATGTTTGCGTGTTATGCCTAGTCTAATTGCACTATTTGCAGCGCCTTTAGGATAGCTTACTTACTTTAGCTTACACCTACTTCTTTGCCTTTTTTCTGTTACTATGCGCTTTAAACTCCTTTAAAGCTATTAAGCATAGGCTTTTTTAAATTATTAAGGTCTTTTTTACTTTAATTTATTTTTTTTATATAATTTATATTACATAGCAGCCTTATTAGCTACTTAAAGCTTAGTAATTTTTTATTATACTAATACTAGCTTATATGTAATTATTACTACTTTTTTTAAAACTTTTTTAAACATTTTAACTATAAAAGTTAGTAAACTATTTATATACTTTTAAATTTTTATTTTTATTAGTATTAATTATAACCTAAGTTTTAAAGTATTACTTAAAGTTTACAACTACTAGAGCTTATTATATATAAGTAGTAGTAGTAATAAAGTGCGTAACTTTACATTAAAGCTTATTATAACTTATTATAGGTTAAAAGGAACTAATCTAGTGCTTTAAAACCTTTTTTAGATATTACTAAAAGTAATTATAGCATTATAAGCTGCTTTAAAGCATAGTAGAAACTTTATTTTTATAATATAAGTAATCTAGTTACACATAAGGTTTTTAGCTTAGCGCTTATACACTTTTTTTAAAAGAGTAAAACAACTTACATTAAGTAGCTATAAAAAGTGTAATAAGTAAAAAGTATATAAATAGTAATAATTTTATTATTCTTATAGTATTACTAAAAATAAAGTAAGTTATAGCTCTTATAGCTATTAATAACTAGTAGATAGTAGCTACTAATAGTACACTTTTTTATATGCGTGTTAAAGTGCTTTAACTAGTCTAAACTAAGCTAATTAGTAGTCTAGCTGCGCTTAGAGATTATAATAACTTAATTTTAAAGTAGATTTTTTTTATACTAGTTTAAAAAGTAGTTGCTACTTTAAAAGATAATAAAAAATAAAATAGCTTACCTTTTAGCATTAATGCCCTAGATAGCTGTTGTCTACTCCTAGTTGCTTAGCTAGACTGCTTTTAGCTATCCTTATTTTTCTAAACTTATAACAACTGCTCTAGTAGATATCTAGCCTATTATAAACTTTATTTTATTAAAGTTATATATGTTATTATTCTAGATACTATACTTAGCTTTAATATTCTTTATAAAGTTAAACTAGCCTTAAATTACTATAGAATTTTTATAAAAAGCTTTTTTATAGTTATACTTACACTTAAACTTTACTTTAAGCTTTAAGTAACACTTAATAAATATATTAAGCTAGTTTATACTAATATAGCTTATATTATGCTTAGCGTATAAAGAATTAGCTATATTAGCTATAGCTACTAGCTAGAGGGGAAATCCTTACGCATTTAGCTTAAGTATGTGCTAAATAATTACTTACTTTTTATTATTATCTAGCTTTTATAAGTTAGCTATATAATTAGCTTAGAAAGGTTATCTAGTATGTTAGTTACTTATTATTTTTAAAAAAAACTTTATAAATCGTGTTACGGTCTATAGTTGGACCAGCGTAACCCCACCAGCAGTGCTCCACAGTCTAGCTGGATTGGGACAGGGCTCGCTTACAGACCAGTCGGAGGACACGGAGGCAGCGCGGCTGCCCGAGGTCATGGAAGAATGTGTTGTCTAATAGGAGGACAGGCCGCAAGTTCAAGGAGCTTAAGGGAGCTTAAGGGAGCTTAAGGAAGCCTGCAAGAGCCTCCTTAGCAGACTCCTATAAACTCCTGTCTACTCCCTTAGCAACCCTAGCACATGTATATAGTTCCTACATTAAACAACCTTTAGAAGGTGTATTTAATATTTAGTTTATTTTTTATATAAACTAAGTAGCATTTAGCTTTTTAAAGAGCTATAATACTATTTATATATCTTGCACTATATATACCTCTAACCTTGTCCTACAGGACTGTTTAACTCTAGCCTCCCTACTGCTGCATATAGGGCAAACTATAATCTAGTTATTCTATATAAACCTCTATTAGCCTAATAGCCTGTACGTAGGACTGTACACCCTACTAGATTAGCCTCTCCTACCTGTTCTACTTATCCCCTAGGAATATTATTAGACCTAAGTGCTTTATAAAGTAAAGATTATAACATTAAACACTACCCCTTTTAAAAAGTATAGTAACCTCCTAACATAACTTAGATTCTAATATAGCCTACACTGCGCTATTAGGATCTATAGAAGTTTCTACCTAAAGTAAAGCTATTTTTGTAGAACAGATTAACTTAATCTAAGACAACATTAAGAAACTTTAGTAAATTAGTAATAAAGTTAGTAAGTTACTAAAACTTAAGTAAAAAATAGCTAACTTTTACTAAAAAACTATAAATTCTTAAAGCCCTCTACTTCTTATTAACCTTTATAAGGCAACTAACTAAGCCTACTAGATACACAAACTATAAGTAGAGCTAGTAAAAGTTTAAAATATTTTAATAAATAAAATAAGTGTTGCAACTAAAAAGGCTTTAAAACTAGCCTTTTTAAAGCTTTTTAGAGGATTATTAAAGAACTTTTAACTATTTTTTACTAAATGCTACCTCTACATGCAGTATAATAAGAGAGCATTTTAGACTAATATAGAAATAATCTTTTAAATAGAATTACACTTAGAAGGCCCTTCTATAATCTAGTTCTAACTCTACACTAATAATTAGATAGACTTTAGAGCTAATAGCGCACTACTTAATCCTAAAACTAAAAAAGTATTTAGTAGTGTTAAAAACTTTAAAGTAGCTTTATTAGCTATTTATAAAACTTTAGATAAAAAAAAAATTGCAGCTAACAGACTAGACAATATAAGACAGAGCAGTAAACTAGTCTAAAACTATGCAGTGCGCTTTAGAGAGTAAATAGCTATATGTAAATAGAATAACTAGAAAGCCTTATACTACATGTTTTATAACAGGCTAAATAACAAAGTAAAAGATAAGTTTATATACATAGACTAACTAACTACTTTTAAAAATTATATTAAAAAAGTAACAACTTATAACAATTGCTATAAAAAATGTAAAAAAAAAAAGAAATTAAAAAGAACTTTCTAAAAGCTAGAATTTATCTCTAAAAAGAAAGAGCTTTTATAATATAATAAAAAGCTAATAGACCTTAGCTATGTAAAGCATACACAAAGCCCCTTTTTAAAGAAAAACTAAGTTCTAAGACATAATAAGCTGCCTTTAATAAAAAAATAATAAAAGTAGTTAAAGGATAAGGCTTACCTAAACTATAGAAAAGTAGGACATTTCTGCTAAAATTACCTAGACTTTTAAAAAGGGGAGAATAAAAATACTACTGTAATAATAAAAGCTATTACTACTAAACATAGCCTTATAAATAAGAAAATATAAGAAAGACTAAATAACAAACTTTACTAGTAATATAAAAAAAACTACTCTTTAAACAACTGTTTTAAACTATATTAGAAAGTAGTTATTTAAAATTTTAGCAGCCTTAATATAGTGTTACAGGACCTTATAATTTTTAAAAAATACAAAGAAGAGACTTAGATCTAAGAATATATTATAAATGTCTAAAAAAAAAAAAATAGTTCCCTCTTTAAAACTAAACCTCTAGTACTTTAGCAAAAAAGCTTTTCTAATAGTTTTAAGAATGTAAGTGCTAGAAGTGTAGGTTACAATATAATTACTTAAGTAATTATATAGTTTTACTTTACTAAATAAACATTAGCAATAACTACTTAATGTTTAACATTATATAAAGAATAGCTAAAGTTAAATATAACATTATAAATAAAAAAAAGTAGTAGTAATTTTTTACTAAGATTAAAAATTAAAAGCTAGAATAGCTAGGCAAACCTGCTAAGTTTAAAGTACTATAACTAGCGCCTAAAAAACCTAAGATACTGCTTCTAAGCTTAGCAATCTCTAGAAAAGCTTTTATAATATAACAAAACTATAGATAATATGTCCTTTGCAGAAGCAGCACTTATAGCGCTAATAGCTGCTAATAGAAAAGTTATCCTGTACAGCTAGTACAAACAAAGGAATACCTCTAGTAGACCTAAGAGAGTCCCCTTAACACACTACACAGACCTAATAAGTGTCTGTACCCCTAGTACTAGTGTACATAATAATACTGTGTTAAACACTAGAACAACAAGCATTAAGCAAAATAGTAGCCTACATAGAAAAGAAACTATAACAGTTGCCTATAGTAAGGAACAGCCTTAGCCTGCAAAACTATAAATTGTTACACTTATTAGACAGCTTCCCTTTATAAATAAGAAGCATAGATAAAGTGTAATAAATAAAAAAGTTATAAGTTCTACTACTTTTAGTAAAAGGCAGTAAGAAAAGAAGACTACCTAATATTACATTATTTAGTTAAAGATTATAAATGTAAAGTAGCTAACTACTGTAATTAAAAACATTAAATTTATAAAAAAAGAAAAGATAAATTTAATAATAACTTATAAAATATTAACTTTTATTTTTTTTCTAATAAAGAAGTTAAACATAATATATTAGCAGTAATTATAGTAAAATAAAGAGTAGGACACAGCCTAACAACCACCTTTACATATAAAGAGTGGCCTAGACTAGCCTTTGTAGACAGCAGATGCACCTTTACTATTATAGACAAAGAATAAGTAGATAAACAAAGTATACTATTCTAAATAAAAAAAAACCTATTTAAGGTAACCCTTACTAATGCATTATTAATTAAATATAGTAGAGG